AAAAAAAAAAAAAAGAATTCTCTGAGTCATATTTTAGACAAAAACAGGAGTGATAGGTAGACGTAAGCAGGAAGACAGGGCTGGGGTCAGGCGGACAAGCCTATGAGCTACTAACCCTAGGAATGGACATTGAGAGGCCCCAGATATTGGGACGTAGGAGTGGAATCTCTCACAAAGAGGAGGCAGGTATGGTCCTAAATGCAAGCCACATGACCTATGTTCCTATAAGTGTAAATGTGGGAACTCACTCAAATTTCTGTATTTGCAGATTGGTGATAAAATCATCACTGGGCTGGTGGGAAAAGTAGTGTTCAAGCAGCCACACAAGTGCTGTGTCAACTCTAAAGGCTAATGTCTTCCTAAAGAGACAGCCTGCTTAGTTCATTATGGCTGGGAGTGCTAGATTCAATGGGAGGAGGCTAACGAAGCAGATGGCTTCCAAAGAAGTGTGTCTAGTATCTTTCCACAACATTAAGAACTTAGAGCTGGGCACTGGTGGCTCACGCCCAGACTCCTAACTACTCAGGAGGCTGAGATCTAAGGATTGCAATTTAAAGCCAGCCTGGGCAGGAAAGTCCACAAGACTTATCTTCAATTAACTACCAAAAAGCCAGAAGTGGAGCTGTGGCTCAAGTGGTAGAACACTAGCTTTGAGCACAAAGAAACGCAGGAAAAGTGCCCAGGCCCTGAGTCCAAGCCCCAGGACTAGCACCAAAAACAAAAGAAAGTAAAGAAAGAGAAAGAAAGCATTGGTCACCTGCCTGTGACCAGACACCAACTCATGAATTTTACCTTTAAAAACCAAAGTATGTGGGCCACTAGGGATTACAGCATAAGCTCCGAGCCTGTGCTGTGGCCCTGACCGGTCAGTGTAGGAACCTTCTCAATAAAGTTGCTTCTTTGTTAATAAAAGAAAAAGAAAGAAAGAAAGAGAGAGAGAGAGAGAGGGAGGGAGGGAGGGAGAGAAGGAAGGAAGGAAAGAAGGAAGAAAGAAAGGGAGGGAAGGAGGAAGAAAGAAAAGGAGGGAAAGAGGGAGGAAGGATGAAGGAAGGGAGGGAAAGTTTATTTGAGCTTACAGTTTGAGGTTTCCACCTATGGTTGGTTGGCATTGTTGCTTTTGGTCCTGTAGCACTGGACACTGTTTCTGAGTTTCTTTGTGCTCAAAGCTAGTGCTCTACCACTTAGGCCACAATGCCACTTCCAGTTTTCTGGTGGCTTATTGGAGATAAGAGTCTCACAGACTTTCCTGCCCAGATTGACTTTGAACCGTGATCCTCAGATCTCAGCCTCCTGAGTAGCTAGGAGTCCAGGCATGAACCACCAGTGCCCAGCTCTAAGTGTATTTAATATGAAGTTCTTCATATTGTGGAAAGATACTAGATACTAAAGAGGGAAAAATTCCTGATCTTATAGCAGCTAGAGAGAAAAGAGGTCAAGTCCATGTTCCCAATATCCCCTGCACATCTGTGTTTATTGCCATACTATTCACCATAGCCAAGATATGAAAACAGATACCCCATAATAAATGAATGGATACAAAAAATTTGGTACCTATACACAATGGAATTTTACACAGCCATTATAAAGAATAAAATATTGCCATTTGCAGAGAAATGAATGGAACTAAAACAAATCATGTAAAGTGAGGTAAGCCAAGTTCAGAGAGACAAATGGTGCATATTTTCTGATGTGCAGGAATTTAATCTAAAATACACTGGAATATGATGTTATAGAGGACTCTAGATACTCACACACAGTGAGACCAAAAGAGGATATTCTTAAGATAGAAACACAAAGGTACAAGGCCTAAGCGCCTCTTCCTATTTATATAAAATTATATATATATATATATATATATATACACACACACACACACACACACACACACACACACACACACACATATTGAAAGGAACTTCAAGATATGGAAACAAGAGACCTCTTTTTTTAATTTTTATTTTTTGATGATTCTTCCCTTTTTACCTTATGTATGGTGTATTCAAGTGTACATCTTCACAAGAGTTGGGGGAGGGTACAGAACTTGAGGGAAAAGGGTGAAAAAGTGCCGCAGTGGAGCTCACTGGACACCAATGAAGGTGAACTATACAACTTGTGGGTGGAAAGGGGAGTGAGGGACTGGGAGAGAATGAGGGAGCAAAAGACACTGTGAAAGAAAATGTACTTATTACCTGACTTATATAATTGTAATTCCTCTATATATCACCACTACAATAACAATAAATTAATAATAAAATAAAATAAATACTGGTTCCCAGGCTTCCCTGGTAGGGCACTGTAAACCAAGGAATGTGGTACAAATTACTGAGTAAAGTGCCCATGGGTCTGCTACATAGCAGAATTGCACAAGGGGCAGAATATACCATCTCATTTTACAAAAGAAGTTGACTAAAGTAGGCAGGAACCTGTGCACACTGGTTCAAGACTGTTAAGTTGCCAAGGGGTTTGCAACTTGGTTGTTAAACTGCTGGTGGCTTGAAATCAGCCACAATAGGAGCTCATTCTACTAAGATTTTCCTGACCAGAGGGGAGCTCAGGGGTTGTTCAGGTTTGTTTACTTCAGAAAACAAGGTATTCATAGGAATAAATATGTCTTAGCATTTCTCTGGTCTTCGATACATTGCTAATTTTGAATACTGACTTACCCTCTAAGGAAATCCAAAAACAAAGCCAGGCATACTGAGGCATATTTGTAATTACACATTATACTCGGAGCCACTGATAGCAGGTTTAGGGATTTGAGATCAGCCTGAGCAAAAGTAGAAAGAACTTATCTCAAAATTGAATTAAAACAAAAGGGCTGGAGGTGGTAGAGAGGTAAATCACTGAATCAGTCCTTTACGATGGAGCTAGAGTTCTTGTATAGGTACATTCTCCTTCTACATTTAACCTGTTCCATCCAAAGCAAACCTCCAGTCTGCACTGATCTATTAAGGGCTCAAATTCTGCCACAGAATTGTCTGTTTCTAAAGACTGTTTTCCACAGCAGATTCATGGCTCCCTCTAGTGGATTGGAAAGAATACAGCTATATATGTGTGTGTGTGTATATATATATGTATATATGTGTATATATGTATGTGTATATGCGTATGTGTATATATATGTATGTTATATATGTATGTGTATATATGTATGCGTGTGTGGGTGGGTGTGTGTATATATATATATATATATATATATATATATGTCATTGTGTGCTATGTGGGACTTGTTGAAACACTACTGCATCATTTATTCACCTACTTTCCAAGAGCAGTTCAAAAGGAAGACAAGGAAATTAGCCAAGAGTGGCCCACTTAGGTGTTTCCACTCACCTGGTTCTGTCAGGCTGGCTCTTGTTCAGGTTGGCTAAGCCTTGCCAGTTCACAAGCTACACCTCTTAATTTTCAAACATGAAAAAAATCAAGCTAACAAAATTCAATATAGCTGGGCACTGGTGGCTCACACCTATTATCTACTCAGGAGATCTGAGGATCATGGTTCAAAACAAGCAGAGCAGTAAAACCCATGAGACTTTTGTCTCCAATTAACCACCAAAAAATCAGAAATGAGGCTCAATTGGTAGAGAACAAAAACTCAAGGACAGCATTCAGGCCCAGAGTTCAAGCCCCACACCACCAAAAAAAAAAAAAAAGCAGCAATTTACACTTGTAATATACTGTTGTAAGCTGTGTGCAAAACACAGATGCTTCCATGACTTTCCACAATATCAGAATTTATTACATAGTAATACTTTACAAGGCATCTCAATTTGGTTGGTTTTAATTTGCCAAGTACTACTTGTTGGGAAATTGTTCAAGTACCAAGAGTCTGAATAAAGACCAAGTCAAGTGCTGATGGCTCATGCCTGTTAAGCCTAGCTATTCAGGAGGCTGAGATCTGAGGAATGCAGTTCAAAGTCAGCCCAGGCAGAAAAGTCCCTGTGAGACTCTTATTTCCAATGAACCACACAAAAATCAGAAGTGGAGCTGTGGCTCAAAAGAAAATACCAGAAAGACAAACTCACCGGCCAACAGGTTTCATTGGGCTAAACCACCTGAGAAGTGCATCCATGTCTTCTTCAGCCTGGCTGGAGAAGAAATGATGTAATTCCTGTAATACCAAGGTCTCTTATTAGGCAGAAAAGTGAAGTCAGGTGGGAGTAGAGGTCAAACCATGCAGGATGGGAACAGAAGAGGTTCTTTATGCAGAGATGGAATCTTTTGAGTTTCAGAAAAGGTTTTTTGCTTGTTTGTTTTTACAGCATTTTGTTGCCAAAGAGTATGACCCTCATTTCCTAGAGTGTCTTCTTTTCACAGCTGCAGGGTGTGTTTGGGGAGGGGGAAGGTAAGAGGCGGTTTAGCCTGGTCTGCAGCAAGGGCAGTGCTGGCATTTTTCAGGATGTGACTGTCAAGTGAGTGTTTCCAGGTTAAGTCATTTTCCATCACTACTGATTTCACTTGATAATCATGAGCCATTGAGAAACAGGTTCTTTTATTCCAATTTTAATTACTACTATTAACTCTCAGACCACAATGATATACATGTAGGTTTACAGAAAAGCTAAGAAACAGGTTAAAGCAGAACAGGGCTCAAAAGGGCTTGACTGAAGAGGGATAGCTGATCTAGCTGCTAAGAGAACCACTGTACATGGGTAGATGCAGTGTTACCATAGTGAACTGCACGACCCACAGTAGGTTTGAAATGCAGA